TGGCTCACCTACAGTGCCAAACGAACTTTCATTGTTTAAATTTTCCAAAAATTTCCAAAACACTTAGCTGGAAATATTGCTAGTTGCGTAATAATGAGAAGTTTGGGACGATTACTGGTGACAGTGATTGGGGGGTGGTGGGTGCTCTGGAGACAGGATAGAGGAGGGGAACAAGAGTACTAGTATCCATGCTTGGAGAACAACCAGAATATGGACTGTAGCTTTTTCAGTTGTTCGAGCGAACTGTGTTCAGTATCATATTTGATTCGTTTTACAGACGTACATGATGGACGGTGGCGAACAATGGGTCGATGGTGTGGACACTGATCTCACAACAGCTGTCATCAGTTACTGCATGGACAGCAGCATCGACGGTTTGTTTTTACCATCCAAAAAAAAAAAAATTAATCTTTTTTTCTTCAAAAATACTTCTTACAACATTAGGCATTCCAGTAACGTGGACAGGGGACGCTACCCTAAAATTTCAGCTTCTTAGCCCTCGTGGTTTCCGAGATAATAATTTTTTCCGCCAAAACTTTCACAGGATCGCAAGTGGTGCCCAGATATAGGGGAAAGGCTGAATTTAAACTTGTGGGGTTGTGCTTGGGTAGGTCTACCGTAAAATTTCAGCTTCCTAGCTTTTACAGTCCATGAGATAAAGTGGATAACCGACTGTCCAGGCTATCTTGGTATTTGGCATAATTTAGATATTTTATGGTTATGGAAAAGGTCGTAAAACGATAAAAGTAAAAACAAAAGTGGAAACTGAATAATATAGAATATTTTGAAAAGCTACATGCCCGATTTCCTTCGTTTTGGAGCTTCAGACTTATGATTCTCATAAAGTTATTGGTTTCGTTTTTTTGTTATTTTGGGGTCTATTCCATGTAGATTACATAATAGATATTGTTTTCAGGCTCAATCCTGGTATTTTTGCCGGGCTACGATGATATAGTAACAGTGCGTGAAAAAGCAAGGCAAATGCGAGGCTGTGTCACGAGGCCTTCCATTTTCATGCTTCATTCGCAGATGAGCAGTCGCGATCAGCAACGTGTTTTCGAACCGGTCGGTCCTGGTTATCGTAAAGTGGTACGCCCTTTCCATCATTTCATTTTCTTAATTTTTATAACGTCATTTTTATACAAAAAACGTCATTTTTATACCCATTTTTGTTCCTGGAGACAGGCTTTAGCACCTTTACTAAATTGTAGATTCTCAGTACGAATATTGCCGAAGCAAGTCTGACCATTGATGATGTTGTTTTTGTCATCGATTGCGGCAAAGTGAAAGAGGTAAGCAGTTTATTATTGTTATTATTATCATTGTTGTTATTATTAGAGTTAGTTAAAAAATCGCCTTCTGCTAAGGTTATTGTTTGTTGATAATTCGCCAGATCCACGGGCTTTCTGGATATATGCCCTCATTTCCTTGTGCGGTAGATGGCCGCTTTTCGTTGTGTGTTTTTATGGCTTGCTAATTGGTTTTGGGATTTCGCTCTATGTTTTAATAGCTTCGCAAAAATATGATATTAGAGCTTCGCAGAAATATAATATTTTTATTATTATTTTTACTTTTAATTCCTGCTCCGTTACAACCTTTTTTATAATCGCGGAATATTTAAAATTAAATTAGAGCATGTAGAATCCAAAATTAAATCAAAAGTCAAACTCCTTGTGTATTTCTCTTCCTGGAAAAGATAGAGAAAATTGGAAGTAGCCTAGCAGTACTGTACTAGTAGCAGTCACAATTTGAATTGACAATTGGTATGAATTTAGATTTCTAAGCTGTCTAAACCGGGCATTAGTTTAATTTTCTTTTTCAGAAGCGCTACGATCATTCGACACGTATTAGCGAGCTTAAAATGACTTGGATAGCGAAATCGA